TGGGCGGAATTTGTAAACAAGAATAGATGCATCAGTGTTCGTTTAGTATCCGAGGAGGTTAAAAGCATTAAATTTTGAAAATTTTGATAATTCACATAATAGTTTCCTATGACCAGAATATTTCATCGATTTTTTATGTGAAAGATGGATCCCATTTCGGGCTTCGACATCCGTCTTGTGTTTACATTACTGCCCAGAGACAGTACACTGCAGTACAAAAGATGTGTACACTTCTGAAAAAACTTTCCTTGCCTTACAATCCTTGAGCGGCCTTAGCTAGTGTTGCCCCCTACAGGCTGACCAGCTAGCTGACCCTAGGACTAAGAAATGGTGGGATCTGGGTTTAACTTTCAATATAAACGTTCAACTTTTTTGTTTTTTTTTATTTGTGTAAGACCATATTCGACCAGAGTATTGATACCCCCCTTTGGGTGGATCCTTTTTTTGTAACAATACTTAACTGTATTTGACTTTGTTACAAAGCAAATAGTTATACTGCACATTTATTAAATTACTAATTAAATAAAATGGGTCTGTTTACACTCCACAATTGTCTCATGTTCATTGGACTATTTAGAGTCATGAAAAGAGCCTAAAAGTTGTGATCCTTTTCCAGACTTTTCTAGTTATCACTGAATATTTTGTGTTTGTTGGACTAATTAAGGTTAAAACCTGAGAAGTCTTTTTTGAACTTTGAACTTCTTTGAAGTTGGAATATGTATATATAATAGAATGGATATATCACAGAATTGATTTATAATAAGTTTATGGCTGGGGTTTCATGCAGTAAGTTGGAGATTGGACCCTGAACTTACAATTTGCCTTCGGTTTTCGTAAAGTTAATAGTTGTCTAAGGAGTAAAGAAAAACATTGTAAGTCTTTAAACTTAAACAAAAAACAGGTGAAGGGCAGAAGTAACCTGGGCAATGAGCAGAACTTCAGCTAGTATATTATATTTATATACTAGCTTGGGAACCCGGAGCTCCCCAGATTACTCATAGTTACTCCTGCCGTTTACCCGCACTTGGATGATTTTAACGGGAAAATAAATTTTCGCTATAAAAGTCCACCCACTCAATTCAGAACCTCTAACCCAAGCTAAGAACATTCCCATGGTTCTCCCGAGTTCCCCAATTAAAATATTAAGCATATCAGTCAATGGTTCCTGAGTTATGATCGGACAAACAAATAGACAGACACCCAAACAGAGATTACAACTTTATATTTATAGATGTTTATCTGTTTTTTTATTGAATATAAAAATTAAGAAATAAACACATATTTACCTATAGTTTCCACAAGGAAATGTTTAGCTATGCCTGAGCTAAAAAACAGAATCAACAATGTTACCAGAATTAGATACAGCTTCATCCTTAAAGGAGTTGAATCTTTGTCATAAGCTGTGATTTTCTCATCTCTTTATCTTTGCAACCCAATTGCCTTACCCTTAGATATTTCAAACTATGAATTCTGTC